TATATGTCTGTATGTATATATGTCTGTATGTATATATGTCTGTATGTATATATGCTGTATGTATATATGTGTGTATGTATGTGTGTGTGTATATAAGTTTCGCAATTTTCGCTTTTATTAGGTCGCTATTAATAAATTGCTCTCCGCCAACTTTGCACACTACCACCGAGAGAGGAATACGATACGATACTTGGGATATTTGGGGAAGAAAGTACGGGAGAGAAATTGGGGAGAAGGAATCGAGTTTCGACCGAGCGATTAGCCTGGAACCTGGGCGAATCTCGAACGTCCACGTGTGCGTCCAAGATTTCCACAGAGAGAACGCACAGAGAGGAAGAACGATTTCGATGGTTTCGCGCGTTTTCGATCGAGATACGAGTGCGTGGTTGAAAAATAGGAAGAAATAGGCGCGATCCTGTCGGTGGTCGGGTCATGGGTCGAGGGTTGGCGTCAACGTGTATAGCAGCATTCGCAGAAGGTTTCGGGGGTATAGGGAGTGTGGCGCGTGGTCTAGAGGGGTCGCGAGGGACACGAGGGGGGTGGCGGTGATGGTGGTGGTGGTGGTCGAGTTGGCCGTGCGAGCCGGTTGACGAGGGGGATGGGGTGGTTAGAGGTGGACGAGGATGGGGTGGTTGTCGACGATAGGGCGAAGAAAGAGGTGGAGGAGCGCAGAGAGAAGCCGAGGTCCGTCGGTATCGATCGGGCGTCTGCGGTAGATTGACACGTGTCATGGCCGCCTCTCCGTGTTGGAGAGAAACCAGGTGGCGGGAGGGAGAGGGGAAAGGTTGAGAGAAAGGTGGCGGGAAGGAGCGAGGGAAAGAGAGAAACAGAGAGAGAAAGAGAGAGAGAGAGAGAGAGAGAGAGGGGGCGATGAAACGAAGAAAAGCAGGCGAGACGAGGAAGGTGGCGGCCGAGGCGGTCGAGGGGCGAGAGAGCGGCGTCGAAGGTGGAAGAAGAGGAGGAAGAGAGGGCCGGGGGTTGGTTGGCGCGGGGGGGAGGCGAGGGAAAAGGACATTAAGGTGCGTAATAGCCAGCGGGGCGAGCGCGCACCGCCGCGGCATCGATTAGACAGAGGCTCCCTCGTCCCATTGCTAGGATGCAGCCCTCCCCTTCTCCTCTTCCTCGTCGACCCACCGACATACTCACCCCCCGCGCTATATCCACCCGTCCACCACCCGCAACCCATACCCTCGTCGACCCACGAGAGGTCCCCACGACCACCCAACCACCCACCCACCCACCCGCCTCCGCCTACTCCGTCGAACTGGAGAGCCCCCGAGTACGTGCTCTACATACACACTCGTGCGCTTATGTCAGTTCCTGTCCTGCCGTTGCCTCTGCCTCTGCCCTCTGTCTCTGCCGCCGCCACCGCCGCCTCCGCTTGCTGCTGCTACTGCCGCCGCTGCTGCTGCTGCTGCTACCGTTGTTACGACTACCACCGCTGTGTGTGCCACCGCCGAGAAAGAGAGAAAGAAGCGGGAAGGGATCGGCCGAGAGAGAGAGATAGAGAGGGAGGGAGGGAGGAAGGGCCGCATGAACACGGGCCACCACGGGGAAAGAGCGAATCAAACCCGTTGAAGGAGAAGGAGAAGATACAAGAGCGAAGGATAATAAGAGGGAATGAGAGGACGCGGATGTAAAGGGTGAGAAGGGAGGGAGGGGGAGAGAGGAGGCGAAGCCACCTAGCGCAGCTATCCTATGCCACCTATACACGCGCCACCGGGGACACCAACGTCTAACGTCGTTATAAACATTAACGGAGCGGCTCAATATTCCCCGGACCTTGCATCCCCTGCGTCTACCTCCGGTCCATCTCCCTTCTAGACCAGAACCTCTCCACCTCTTTGCGCTCTACCTATCTCGGACCGTTCCGTCCATGGCTATCTCGCCCCGTACGTACCATACGTACGTACCATACCTCTCTCTTTCCATTTCGCAAAAGCGAACCTCCCTCCGTTTCTTCTCTACTCCCCCCTCTCTCTATATTCGCTTTCTCGATTCTTTCTTTCTTTTTTTTTTTTCTTTTTTTTTTTTAAATCATCCCATCCATCCCACCGATGATTAAACGTAAAAGAAATGAGAAAGATTCGATTCGAAAACGATTCGAACGATTTGGTTTCCTTTTTTTCTTTTTTTTTTTTTTTTTTCCAAATCGTGATCGATCCTCGATCCAAAGGTTAGTTACGTTACATTTTGGAATTGCGGGATACGCGAGGGTTCGAGGGCTGATTACCGTTAATTGCGGTTGATACGTAGTAGGGAGGGGGGGGGGGGGATACCATTTCGATCGGATTAGCGGGCGGAGGCGATCGGGAGCCGATGTACACGGTATATGTACACGCCGTTTCCAAATCGATATAATTATAACTCGGCCCGGTTTTCCTTCGTTCCTCGTGGAAAACACCCGCTCGATCGTTTCCCCGACACGTTCTCGGGGCGGAGGATATCCGTTGCAACGCGGGCGTGCACGTGCAATTTGTAGCTTCGCACGGCATCGCTACAGAGGGAATTCGTCTAGTTCGTACGTTCAACAAGTATCCATCCCTCCTCCACCTTCGGCAGTTGTACTTCCCACCCCCTCCTCCTCGTGTCTCCGGTTAGATGGCAAAATCTGGTCTCGACCGATATCCCTCCTTATTTTTCGCCTCGCGCCTCGAGGATCGAAAAAGGGAGGAGGAGGGAGGAGAGGAACCTTTGGTAGCAGGTGCGCCGCGTGTGTAACGCACTTTTTCCCCGTTATTACGGCGCGTAATAAGGGATTAGTCGTCGTGGTTGATCGTCGATCAACGTTAAGTCTCCTCTCCTCGCGACACGTCAAAGTTGGATACGTCGTATTGACGTATCGACGTATCCTTGTCCACGATCCAAGGCCAATTAACCAAGGCATCCCCTCGACGTTTCTCGACGGCAAATCTCGACTCGATTTACCAGCCTTGCTCCTCTCCTCTCCTCTCCAATACCGAGAGATCGGAAATATAAAATTGGCCAAACTTAATCTAATCGACGATTAAATAATATTGAGACGAGAAGAAGAAGAAGAAGAAGAAGAAGAAGAAGAAAGGAGAGAACAGAGGGAAAAAATTTTAAAGATTTTTAAAAGATACACGCTCGATCGATCCACCCATCCATCCACCCCTTCTATTTCTCCCTTTCTTCGAATCTCGAAACTTTCGACTCTCTTAGAGCACACCAAGAGAGTAGATTTCTCCCCTCCCTTCCCTCCCTACCGTCGAGAGTTTCCGGTATCTCGTTACAAATCGAATTTTAGTCACGTCAAAAGTAAACGATCCGGCTAGATCCGCGCGTTAAGCGATCGGGTCGCGAGGTGAGCCGGTGTTTCGAGCCGGATGGAAATCTCATTTGGTAGTTTTCCCCGTTTAATAAGACGGGTGTAGCAGGAGGAAGAAGAAGAAGAAGAAGAAGAAGAAGAAGAGGAAGAAGAGGAGGAGGAGGTAGACGTGGGTAGCGAGAGACGAGGAGCCACGAGGTCGCTTGCCGAGGTTCGCAGACTTGGGAAAGGGGAAACGGAAAGGGCGCAACAAGGCGGGGGGGGCGGAGGTAGCGGGGGCGTCCGGGCGAGAGGAGGGCGAGAGGAAGAGGATGGGGCGGCGGAGGTGGCGAAGGGGGTGGGCGGTGGATGGTTGGAGGTAAGCAGGGGTGGGTAACGGGCCGGGGAGGGCGGCGGAGGGTCGGCCAGGACTGGGAGGCGAAGTGTCGTCGTCCGAATAACGGCCAAGCGGCATCGACCGATCTTCCTACCCCCCCTCGAAGCGCTCGTACGAAGCGTCAACTTGTTTCCCTTCTGTTCCGCGAATATCGGGCCTTCAATTTGCCCCGGTTGCGCGATGCACTGCCCTTTACGCGTAATCCATACACGGCTCCGTCACTTGTCCCATCGATATTCTTCCCGTCCTCGTTTCCTCCCCCCTCTCACTCCTTTTCCACTTCCGCTCTTCTTGTCGTTCTTCTTGACTTTGAAGGGAGGAGAGAGAGAGAGAGAGAGAGAGAGAGGGGAGAAAAGGATACTTTGGAGGTTTCTTTTTTTTTCCTCTCTTCTTCTTTTCCGGTAGACGAAGTTTTCCGCGATATTCTTTTCGTTTCTCTCGTTATGGAGGGATAGGTATGCTTTTGACCAAGTTTCGAATTTTTTCGAAAGGTATGTTGTTGATGGAAGAGTTACAATCGATGAAGTGTTAGGAGAGGGGTTTAATGTACGATGAAGATATTCTTCTAGTTTTCTCCATTTGTTCGTAGTGGAGATATACGTTTTTTTTTTGGGGGGGGGATGGAGAAAGATACGTATCTATGTATTTTCAGGATAATCGATGGAAAATTACAAGGATATTTCTTTCATTTTCCAGTTCGTTGAAAGTATATACGAAAGTATATACACATCTTTCCAAAGTTTCGAATTATCGTTAGATGAATGTCTTGTTAATCTTTTTCCACGCGTATCACGCATATCTTCAAGAACGGTGACGCATTAATTATCATTTTCGAATCTAGGCAAACTTTCACGCGGAGATACGTCGATGCATAATTAAAAAATTACAAAGAGGATATTCGCATAATTCTATAACCAACGAAAAGGTATATATCTGTACATTTTACGGGATAATGGATGAAGTATTGTATGATATAAAAACGTGTAACGATATTCTTTTCCCTTTTGTCATTTGGAAATGGGTGGTTATGATAAGATAAAAAGTTTCGAATTCGTTAGATCTCCACGCAATCAACGTATCTTAAAGATAAAGAAAATTACAAAAAATTATCAATCCAACGAATCCATGGTCCATTGTTTCCACGTTAATCAACGCGATATCCGTGAAAACGTGTACCCATACCATATACTTTCAGGAATATAGAATATGAAAGAGTAACGATATTTCCTTTTCCTTCACATTTACTCGTTTTCGAATTTGTCGAAACGAATCGAATGTATCGATCCCAATTTGTCCACCGCATTAATCCAACTCTTGGTCTCGCAATATGGATAGGGCCGATGGAGAGCTACGAGGAGGACGACGACACCCATTTCTGCATCAAGTGTCACCTAACGATACACGGCCTCGAGAATTACGTGCGCCATCGTCAATCGGGATGCCGTCCACCTGACGACAAGAACGTGTGGGTCTCGCCCACGACGCCCGCTTCCCCCACCACCGTCTCCTACCCCGAGATACTGAACGCGGACGCGTTCTTCAGCTCGTTGGAGCTGCAGAGCAGCTCGAAGACGAATCCCCGGAAGGCGCCCTCGTCGTTGCTCGACGAGGGTAAAAAGTCGATTAGGAAGGAGGAGAGGAGGAGGAGGGGCCAGAGGGGGGGCCAGGTGGACGGGGAGGAGGCGAAGGAGAAGCAGCACATTCACAACATGCTGCCACAGGTCCCGGTTCTCGTCGACGACCCGACCGACTATCTCTGCATCCCGTCCCTCGTCGGCTTCCCCGACATCGTCCCCCCGAAACCGGCGGCCGCGACCCACAACGTGGGCCGTAACAAGTTGACCCAACCGATGGGCCACGTGGCCCATACGGGTGGCATGGTCGAGGGTGGAGGGGGTGGAGGGGGGGCATTCGTCGCTGGGGCAACCGCAGCAACCGCCCCATCCACCTCCTCCTCCTCCTCGTCGAAGACTCACCACGAGGCGGAAAACTCTTTGGTGGAGGGCCTGATGGCGTCCCACCACGTGGAGGGGGCGAAGGGGCAGGCGGGGGACAGGAAGAGGCAGCAGGAGGAGCCGCAGAGCAGGATGGAGCAGGTTCATCAAACGTGGCTCGAGGACACGATATTGGCCGAGTTGGTCGCCAACAACGAGGCATCGAGCAAAGATTTGGCCAGGTACGGGTTCGGGTATCAACAGGAGGAGGACGAGGACGAGGACGAGGACGAGGACGAGGACGAGGGCGAGGGCGAGGGCGAGGGCGAGGGCGAGGACGAGGACGAGGGAGAGGGCGAGGACGAGTCGGAGGAGGGAGTCGTTGAGGAGGACGAGGAGGAGGACGATATATTGGAGGAGGATTTGGGGGAGGAGGAGGAGGAGGATGGCTCGTACACGGAGTCGGAGGAGGATAGGGAGCGTTCATTGCGCGGTCACACCGGTGGCAAATGGAAGCCGGAATTGGACGATCTCCCTCAAAATATGTCTCAACTTCAGGAGGAGGACGAAGACGAGCAGCATCAAGAACATCCGCCGCCGTCTCACACCGGCGGCAAGTGGCGGCCCTCGGACCCATCAACCCAGGTACGCCCGATTACGTCTTATTCGTTTGTTTATCGCTTTCCTTCCCCTTCTCCCCTTCTTTCACGCGCGCCCGTTTCGCAGAGGGGGGGGCAGGAGGAGTACGGGGCCAAGGGCAGCAACCACGCGGGACAACAACCACCGCCTGGGCACACGCGAGGGAAGTGGATACCGGGCGCGAGGGCGGATATCGGGTCGGGTTATTGGTGCAACCCTTGCGGCAGGAAACTCGCCTCCCGACTGGTGTACAACAGGCACCTCCGCTCCGATTTGCACGCCAGAAGGAGCGTCCGAGAGATGGACGGCGTTCTTTGCCTGCCGCGCGCCGGCAACCCCCACGTCGCCAAGAGATCTCGCCATCAAGTAATCGTCACGTCGCTCTGTTTTCTCTTTGCATTCCTTCTTTCTTCCTCGAATTATCTTATTACATCCCTCCCAGTTTTTATATAAATTTGTACAAAAAATGACGCGATGGAACGGATTCCAGGTCGATCGACAGAGAGGACAAGGGAGGGGACAAACGGGGGTCGAGGCGAAGGTTGGCGTTAAGAAAAGTTTGCGGAGACGGGAGAAGGAGATACTTTGCTGCGAGATGTGCCACGCGAGGGTGAGAAGGGCGCAAATGGGCAAGCATTTGCTCTCCCATTATCACTGCCGCGTGGCGGGCGTAAATCCTCGCGGGCCACGGGCCCGCCGCTTTCTACTCGAAAATATGGCCAATGTGGTTCGCCAGTGCCCCTTCCAGTGCTTCTCCTGCCGCTTTTATTGCAACACCGAGGACACGTTCCTCCGCCATTGGAGGTCCGAGCTTCACGCCAAAACCCTCGAGCAGGTATCCATCTCCCTCCCCTCTTTGCAAATCTTTTTCCATTAACAGTGAGAGAGAGCGAGCGAGCGATCGAACGAGAGAAAGAGAGAGAACGAGAGAGAGAGAGAGAGAGAGAGAGAGAGAGAGAGAGAGAGAGAGAGAGAGAGAGAGAGAGAGAGAGAGAAAAGGAAAGAAAGGAAAGAGAAAGAGAGAATGAGAAAAGGAAAGAAAGGAGAGAGAAAGAGAGAGAAAAAAGGAAAGAAAGAAAAGAGAGAGAGAGAGAGAAAACAAGGGTTCTTCGTTCTATCTTCATTTATTCTTCTTCCTCTTCTTCCTCTTCTCCTCGATTTTTCAGATAAGCGGCAGCTACAGATGCACCCCGTGCGACTTTTGGTGCGAGGAAAACGAGGCTATGGAGTGCCATCTGCTCGACCCGAGCCACCGAGACGTGGTCTCGATGATGAACGGCTCGGTGCCGATCATGATAGGGCGGCAACGGGGCCTGCCGTGCGCCGGTTGCGACCGCCGGTTCCGTTACAATTTGCAGCTTCGTATACACGCGAAGGAGACGGGCCACGAGGAGAGTTTGACGGCGAGCGACGAGTATCAGCAGCGGATGAAGTGCAAGCTGTGCCCGCGGGTAGTGAGGTCGTTGGTGGCGCTTCAACGCCATCAACTGTCCTGCCACGCGGCGAAGACGGCGAAGGGGGGCGGCGAGGGCGACACGGCGCCCTATTTCTGCTCGTTCTGCTCGATGAACTTCGCCACTGCGAGGGAGGCTGTTCTCCATCGAAGGACGTCCAGCCACAAAGAGGTGGTGAAGGCTCGGAAGAGTAACGGGGGCGCGACGGCGGCCGCCACGATCGGTCGACAGTGCCCCCATTGCGAGGAGAGACAGGCGAATTTGTCGGACCACAAGAGCCATCTTCTCGATCGTCATCCCGAGCTTTGTTACAGGCGAGCGATTTCACGAGTACCTTTTCGTAGATTTACACTTTTCCTTTCTAATACACCTTCGAAATAATAATTATCTTTCTTGAATCACTGTGGTGTGAATCTTCTTAAAATGTGAAAATTCTTAAACATCCTTAGATATTTTATATCGCTTCGATAATACTTCTTCTCATATCGTGCGTACGTTCCCCCGGGTTTCCAGATGTCCGAGGTGCGGCACGCTTTTCGCCCTGTCCCAAGACGTGACCAGGCACACGAGGGAGAACAAGTGCCAGGAGGAGGAGGACGAGGGGACGAAGGCGAAGGGTGGCGAGGGGTGGAGGTGCGGGGAGTGCAGTTTCTCGACCGATTCCCGGTCGGAGTTCATCTTCCACGAGGCCCTTCACGCGGGCCCCGTGAATCATCCGTCAGGGGCGCCTGAGAGAGCGGGGCCCGCCAAACCGTTGGCCAAGTACTCCTGCCCCGTGTGCAAGAGGGCGTTCGCCAAAGTGTCGTTGCGGAATCACATCAGGAGTCACACGGGGGAGAGGCCGTTTCCTTGCGCCAAATGTCTGGCCCCCTTCTCGAGGAGATCCGACCTGAACGCCCATCAGAAGGAGTGCACGGGGTCGTCCTCGGCCGGATGGCCGGATGGCGGGTCGTCCGGGAGGAAGCGCGGTTTCGCCTGCTCCGAGTGCAACAACGCTTTCTACACGAAGTAAGAACATATACACACATACACACATATACACATACACACGTTAAGAAGCTTATCGATGATCGATAATTTTAAACGATCGGGCGCGCAGTAAAAGTAATTGCTCGTGTATCCTCCCTGTGATGACGTACAGCCAGCGTTGTATCGTGACAACAATGGAGAGAGAGGGAGGGGAGGCCCTTAAGACTAAGAAAACTTGCCGCGTTTATCCGGCCAACAACAAAAGGATCGCATTTATCAACCGGATGGATATCCAGTTAGGTACAATTATATATATATATATATACATATATATATATCGATCGTGGATCCATACTCTCGTGCTCGGTTTCCCTTTACCTTTCACCGGGCCCGTTCATCTTTCAAGTTTACCTTAATCCGCGAATGCGTTAACATGGGCCAGAGGGGGGTAATATCGTAAATAAATTGAGCCCCAAAAGTGGGCATTGAAAAATAATACGGGAGGCTCGACTCTGCCGAGCCGATCTTTCCGAGCGAAGATCGTTCGACTTTTCTTTTCCCGACCGAAAAGGGAGGGAGGGTAAGGGAGAGAAGAGGTGTCCTCGTCGCGAAAAGTATAGGAAGAAAGAAAGGAGACGGGGAAGGGAAGGGAGTGGGGGAGGAAAAGGAGAGCGGGAGAGGGATGGAGTTCTCCTCTCGTATTAACATCTCGTACAGCGCGGCCCCTGTAAGCCCACGGGTCATTCCGGCGTTTAATGGGCTTGCATTATGGTCCGTGCAAGTATACGCGCACACCTACCATACGCGTACAACCAACGTAACTGGAGAAACTTGCGCTTGTGCTAATGCTTCGTTACGCTAGCGAAATTACTAGCCCCGGATTAACGCCCCGTGGGCCCTATTAAAAATTGCGATCTGCGTGTGCCTGCGCGCCAAATGCCAATTCGAACAACCGATTTCGGAAAGGGAGCAAATGTAAAGCAAATGTCAACGCTTTTCTTTCCTTTTCTCTCTCTCTCTCTCTCTCTTTATTTCTTTTTCTCTCTCTCCTTTCTTTCCTTTTCTCTCTCTCTCTCCTTTCTTTCCGGAATATTTTCGATATCGGAAACGACGAAGGATGTCAACGCTTTTCTTTCCTTTTCTCTCTCTCCCTCTCTCTCTCCTTTATTTCCTTTTCTTTCTCTCTCTCTCTTTTCTTTCTTTCCTTTTTTCTCTCTCCCTTTTTTCCTTTTCTCTCTCTTTTCTTTCCTTTTTTCTCTCTCTCTCTCTCTCTCTCCCCGTTACTTCTTTTTTTTCTCTCTCTCTCTTTCCTTTCTTTCCTTTTCTTTCTCTCTCTCTCTCTTTTTCCTTTCTTTCCTTTTCTCTCTCTCTCTCTCTCTCTCTTTTTCCTTTCTTTCCTTTTTTTCTCTCTCCCTCTCTTTTCTTTCTTTCCTTTTCTCTCTTTCTCTTTCTCTCTCTTTTCTCTCTCTCTTTCTCTCTCTTTTCTTTCCTTTTCTCTCTCTCTCCTTTCTTTCCGGAATATCTTCGATATCGGAGACGACGAGGGATTAGATGACGATCGTTGTCAGCCTCCAATGATCTCTGACGTATCATTCGCGTCGAAACTTGCTTTCTGCCTCGGATCCGCAATTAGACTTTCTCCCAGCTTCATTTTCGTGGAAAATGGAGGGGGCGTTCGCTCGCGTCAGTTGTCGCCAATGTCGAATCCAAATTCTATCTCTCTCTCTCTCTCTCTCTCTCTCCCCGGAGAAGAGGAAACGGAGACAATTTAGCAAGAAGCGTTTCCACGAAACTTTGTCGCTTCCCCGGATGCAACAAACTGTTATCATCGATTATACCCAACCCTGTATATATATATATATATATATATCTATCAGAGATACAGATTTTGATTTCTAAACTTCTCGTTCGTCGTTTTCGCGGTCTTCCATTGGAAAATTGCGAAGAAACAACGCGAGAGAGAGAAAGAGACAGGGATAGGAGAAAGGAAGGAAGAAGGAGAAGAGGGATAATTACGGGAAGACGGGCAGCTCCCGCGCATTCGATCGACCCTAACCAATTCTCAGAATAAGCGGGCAATTCTCTCGATGTATGCGCATATTCAAGATAGTATGTTACATACGCGAGCCCGCTGACCGTACGTTTCGCCCCTCGTCGTCCGCCCCCCTCCCTCACCTCGGGCAACCCCCTGCCCGTCCCCGGCACGGACGTTGCTCGATGTACGTACGCGAGGCTCCCCACAGGTATTTACATATATGGACCGCGGCGTGGCTGCCGCGTATCTTTTATCTTCCGCGGCAGTAATGGCGCGCGTCCACCTCCTTCGTAAACCCCGGTCAGGTAAACGCCGTAAAGATAGGCATACTGGGCGAGATTGGCGTAACCTCGTTTGACGATCCTATCCTCCTCTCTCTCTCTCTCTCTCTCTCTCGTGTCCCTTCCTTCCCTTCCCTTCGTCCTTGTTCGAGCTTGTTAAACCGTTTATCCGCCGATAAAACGCGTCGCTACCACGCGTCGCACAATTGTCCACAGAGTTTTTCCAAAAACTGTGGTTGCGTGGATCGAGGCCTTGGAGAAATTGAGGAAAGGAAGGAGTTACGGGGGAGAAGAGAGATAATGACGAGACCTTAGGAAAGTTAATTCGAACGCGAGGCATGTTCGAGGATCGAGGCGGTGCATAAATCTCGCCGGATCACGGTAAATTTAGAGAGGAGGGTTCGAGAGGAGGGGAGGCCCATCTCTCTCTCTCTCTCTCTCTCTCTCTTTCTTATCTACCATTGTTCTGGACCACGGCAGCAGCGCGTGGTCCCGGGTTCGCGTATCGTTTCCTCTCACCTCGGACGGGGCTACTAATGAGGCACGGTGTCGACTTTACGGATCACCCCGTACGAGGCACCCCCTCACGCGTCCGGCCCCTGCGTATCCCTCCCCTCCCCCCTCTCCGAGGGGGATACGCGCCACTGTCGAGAGGGGAGGAAAGAAGGAGGAGGGAAGGATTTCTGCATGCCTCCCCCTCCCCCTCCCCCTCCCCCCTTAAGGAACAATGCGACGACGGCGAGGACGCTGTTGCACCGCATTCGTCGCTTTCGAATGTATTAGTGAGGTGTCTCCACCCGTGCGCGCATTGTGCCGCGCTTTTGTGTTTCCTTCTCCTCTTCGTCCGTGTGGGAATGGCGTGGCCGGTGGTAGCGTTGCGATGCGATGCGATGCGATGCGATGCGGTACGGTTCGGGTATGGTGGCACGCGGTAAGCACGGCCCCCGTATGCAGACAGTTTAGCGGTGGCCGCCCCGCGAGTCCAGTTGTCGCGTGAAATATTGCGATTCATAAAATAAAACAGGCCTGCGGTCGAGGACGCGTAGATATAGCCGCAGGCTGCTAACCCAGACCTAACCCCTCCCCTCCTCCATCCCCATCTCCAGCCTCTTTTCGAAACGCCGCATCCCTCCGAGCTGACATTTTTTTTTTTTTTTTTCTTTTCCTCCTCCTTCTTCTTCTTCTTCTTCTCCCTCTTCTCGTTCGTCCAACCATATCCGTCCGTGCGATACTCTTACTCATACGTCGCTCGCTCTTATTCCCGCTTGTGTTATTTGCGATCCCTTTCCTTCTCTTTCCTCCTCGATACCAGTTCCTCGATAACAGTTCGGCGGTATGCTCGGTGGACCGCATGAAATTTTTCGCCCCTGGTGGAAAACTTTTCCTATACCGGATGCGGTACGGTGCGGCACGCGATTCAACGCGTAGTAGTGGTATAATGCGGTAACGAGGAAGGAGGGAGGAGGGGGGGGGGGAAGAAGGTGGATGAAAAAATATCCGGACAGTTGTTTTATTTAATTAAAATTTTTTCCCACGAGGGAAGACTGGCAGAAGAGAGAGGAGGAAATTCGGCTCGTAATCGTATAACCGTGCGAGTATTATCCTATGTACATATACATGTACACATATATACATGTATATATATATATATATATGCACACACGATAACGAAGAACTCGCGATCCCCCCCCTCTGCCTAACGAATGATCGTCTCCTGTGAACGAGAAGAGCGGAAACGTCGACGTACGTTACGGTTAAGACGCTCCTCTCCGTTCCGGAGATTCCTCCTTTTCCACCGACGAAATTAGCGGAGGACATGTTTATTGTAAATGAATCCTGGTCCGGGAGCGGCGGCTCGTGGAAGACTCGTGGTACATGTTCCTGAGGGGAGGGGGAGAAGGGAGGAGGGTGGCGGCGAGTCGTGGAGGGACGAAGACGGAGCGGGCGAAGAGGGAGGGGAGGGTAGTTTGGAGGGCGCGCGCGCCCGCTGCCCCGATTTATGCGCCCGTTACCGAGCCCTCTGGCGCAATTAAGCTCGCGTTATAATATTGTTGTTTATTCTGAGCCTCGGCTGCGAAGCGTTAACCACCCCTCCGCCCCACCGTTCCGGCTCTACTGGCAACAACCGACCCTGCGATCCCCTAATCTCCCTGACGCGGCAGCCTAGAATCCCTCTCCCTCCGCTTCCTTCTCTGCCAGTTCTCTATCCCCCTCTCCCCTTATTTCCCTCTCCTTCTTTCTTTCTTTCCTTTCTTTCCTTCCTTCCTTCCTTCTTTATCCCCGTCGACTTACAGCATCAGCGCCAAACAACTAGGGAGGAAGGGGGGGCTAACGAGTAACCCCCCCCTCCCCCCCTCCCCCGCTCCCTGCGACAAAACGAAACGAGAATTTTTCGCTCTCGTCTCCGAGAGGAAGACGAGATCCGCACGCCGGATTGATTCGAATTTATTTTGACGCGCGGTGAACACGTTAACGGCGTTAATGAAGCTGGCTTTTCGAGATTTCGAGTGGGGAGAGGGAGGGAGGGAGGAAGGGAGGGGAGGGCGTTTGACGTTTCGATCGTTCGTTCCGATTTGGATTTCCAAATCCAACCATGGCCGGCCGGCCATACCCGTACGATCGAGCCTCTCCAAGATTTATCGTTCGAGGGGTTGCGAGGATCGAGAGAGAGAGAGAGAGAGAGAGAGTGTAGATACCTACTCGGGATCGATCGATTTAATTTTAACCTTCGTTTCTCTTTTTCTTCTCTTTCTCTCTTTTTATTTTCTTCTTTTTCTCACGACGCTGTCAATCGCGTCGCGAAACGCTCTCAGTCCTCCTCAAATTTATCCCCTTGTTTACATAAATTTGAGAAATCTATAATTAAAACCGCGATCCGTCTTTATCCCGGTTTGGATCGGGCGATTTATACCCGAATATATTTGAATAACGCGTGAATCACCGCACCTCTTGAACCGGTTCTCTCCGTCTCCCAAATCCGTCGAAAATTTTCCCCCCGATTGCTCGAAAACCGTGTCGAAACCGCGTTTAAAATTATCATCTTATATATATATATATATATATACGACGAAAATTGAAGTTTTCTTCGTTTCGATTCGTCTCTCTTCGAAAGGAGCAAAAGTGACGCGAGAGGTAACGAGAAAGAGAGAGAGAGAGAGAGAGAGAGAGAGAATGACGACTATGGAATCTACCGAGAGAGAGAGAGAGAGAAAGAGAGAGATCTCCCTCGATGACTTCAACATCGGATGGGTTATACCGCTCGGCACGGTGATCAAGATCGAGCTCGGCGAGTCGAAAGGTGGAGGGGAGAAGGGACATATGTATAAGGGGGTAGAGTCGGAGAAAGAGCGAGACGGACGCAGGTGCAAGCTGCAACGGTACGGGACGGACGTACGGACGTACGAACGGCGGACGAAGGTGGGATTGAGTTATGACAGCGTTTGCTCCAGGGGGCCGGCTCTGGACCCGACGAAGCGGATATTCTTCTTATTCTTTATTTCTTGGTCTGCGGCCCCGCCGTAGAAACCGTCGGCCATGCATCACCTTCGGTTCACTTTGGTCCTGCCTCCTCCTCGGCATCGTTCCACGGCCACACCACCATCACGGCCCATCACGATCCCACCTTGCCCATCGTTCCAAACGTTTGATTCCACCCACCTCTCTCTCTCTCTCTCTCTCTCTTTCTTCCCGTTGTAAAAGGTTTACATTTACCTGTTCCCTAACTTTGCAGCTTCCATACCGTGCGCGCGTACGTGCGCAGAGCTTTCCAGTTAGTTAGTTAGTTAATTAGTTAGTTAGTTCTGGACGAAATCCAGATACGGGCGATAAAGTCGAGAGAGAGAGAGAGAGAGAGAGAGAGAGGGAGAGGAGGGGGTAAGAAACGTTCTTAAACGTAAAATAGATGATAGAGACGATGATAGAGACGATGTTTCGAGACGGAGAGTCGGAGCGTTCGGGTTGACAGAGTCGAGGAAAGAGTCGGGGCGAAGAGTCGCTTGTAAATCATTCGTGGTAATAAAGATCCACTTGTCGTGGCTCGATATTTATGAATCGCCCTCGGTTTCTCCTCTGAGGAGAATCGGCTTTTAACTCTCTCTCTCTCTTTCTCTCTCTCTTCCTCTCTCTCGTGGCTAGCTCTCGGGATGAACGATCGTCCGATTTCGAGATAATCGAAGAGGTCAGGGGCGGAGGGGACTAGGCCGCGAAGGACTTGCCACGGCTGAGAGGAAGAAGAGTTTGGCGGAGGAGAGAGAGAGGAAGGCGTGGAAGACGAGAAAGGCGAGGAGAAAACGAGCCGAGAAAGCGACGGGGGGAGGGGGAGGCAGTCGAGGCGGAGGAAGGAGGAGGAGGAGGAGGAGGAGGAGGAGGCCTGAAGAAGTCCGTTCGAGAGTCGACGTTCGTTCGTTCGTTCGTTCGTTCGTTCGTTCGTTCGTTCGTTGTGTAGTACGAGGCCGCAGACCGACAGACCGAGCGAAGGACCGCGAGGCCATAAATACCTCACCGCGTTCAGCCAATTAAAACAAATCATTTTAATGCGCAACCTTTTTAATTAATGCCCGTGCTCGTTCGCTCTCATCCGCTTCCCTCCTCTCGGATAGTACACGATCGCCGCGCAGCCTCCTCTCCCCCTCCCCCTCCTCCTTCCCATCCGAAGAGAACGATCGAGGCTGTGTATTAACCTGTGCGCGCACGGTCGCCGCACTATCCTCGAGCCTCTCGTTTCATTCTCGTTCGCGAATTCTCTTTCTCTCTCTCTCTCTTCTTTTTTCTCTTCTCGTCGACTGACTGACTCATCGTACGCGTTATTATACACGTTTTCGCGAATTTTCAGCGTGGGGAAAAAAAGAAAGAAAGAAAGAAGGAAAGAAAGAAGGAAAGAAATGATTTCGATTCACATTTCGATTTTTAACTTTCTTTTCTTTTTAAGAATACGAGAAGAATTCTTCTCGTATCGTCTCCCCCCCCCCTCCCCCTTCCCTTCCCTTTCCGTTATATTGACGAATATAAGGACGATACGTACGTATCCGCCGCGGATTAGACTTTTAAATGACCTCGAGTCGGGCCGGCGCATATTTCACGAGATGACGGTGGACGTCGCGCTAAATCATCCGGAGTGACCGCATCCGCTTACCCAATCGGACCGAGACTCTTCTTAACGGCCTCTTGTCACGCCTGCGACATTCCGACGAAACACACGCGTCCGAGAAACGCGTCTTCTCTCTCTCTCTCTCTCTCTCTCTCTCTCTCTCTCTCTCTCTCTCTCTCTCTGTCCTCTGTGTGTTCATCAACCTTCTCCGTTCCCCTTCCGTCAATGTCGTCGCCGCGAGAGACGCCGCGCTTTTGTCGACCACCATATTAATATTGTTCTATCGGAATTCCAATCCCCCGGAATGGGCCTACAACACGAGATTTCCCAACGCTATAATTCACGTGGACGGCGACGAGGAACAAGCCTCGTCTCGTCCTCGACTTTGTTCCTCGAATTTTTTTTCTTTTTTTCTTTTCTCTTTTCTCTTTTTTTTTTTCCTTTTAGGAAAATCACGCGGAACAATGTTACGATTTCTTATTTCGGGACGAGCGAAATGTATTACTCGAGTAAGATAAAAAGTAGTTGCAGTTATCTCGCGATGATCTCGCTGTGATAATAAGGCGAAAAAAAAAAAAAAGGAGAAAAATATTGTTCTATTAAAAAATAAATAAAAGATAGTTTACTTTCGATCTTATCTTCCCCTGTTTCGCAATGAGAGACAACAACGTTATTACCCTCTTCCCTTCTTCAAGCTCGTCAAGAGATTGCTTACTTAATGTATCGTGGAAAAATTACAAGAAAAGCGAGATTCTTGCCAAATTGTCGAACATTTTCAATCACACGTGTATATACCCTCTCACTTGTGTTCTCTGTAAAGTGCAAATAAAAAAGAGAAGAGAAATCGGATACGAGGATTAATCGTTATTCGTTGCTAAAAATCTGATATCGATCTGAAATTCGATCTCTCCTCCGCCTCTCCTCCCCCGTATCGAAACCGTCCGCGGTAGCGGTTTTCGATACACGCTCTTTGGCCTTGACCGGCCAAAGGTTTCGAGCGAATAAGAAGAGCGACGAGAGGTCGCGAGTGGGTGCCGCTCTCCACTCGCGGTGCACAACGATGACACGGGAACGTACTTGCAGAAGGGGCTAGTGGTGCACGGTAGTGCAGGTGTAAGGGAAGAGTATACATACATATATATATATATATATATATATATACACACATAAACGTTCTAAGCTCGTGCGAGGGCGTGTATATCCTGACATTGTAAAAGTTGCCGTTACACTTGCGTAGCCAATTGGGTAGGCCGAGACTCCCCCTAGGACGGCCCAGATCTCTCTTCTGCTCCTCTTCTTCTCTTCCTTCTCTTCTCTCTCCCGTCCTTCCTCCTCCTCCTCCTCCTCCTTCTCTCTTCCCTCCGCTTCTCTCCTCCTCTCGCCCCCTTTTTCTTCGATTTTCTCCCCCTGATTCCTCCTCGTATCCCGCCTCTCGTCGAGCTGCCCTCGCGGTATCGTCGAGCTGCCATCTCGAAAAATCCGTGTCCTTCGCTCTGTTAAACCGCGGTAGGTTTCCCGCACCCGGTCACCACTCGGCTCCGTCGTTCGCGAAAGATCTCGATACAGGACCTCCAGGGGGGAGGCAGGGGGAGGAGATACGTATATACGAAGATCGGCTACCACCGTTCGGAAATTTGCTGCCGATCCCGATAACATCGACGAGCTTTTACTTAGTTTTATACAGGAGTATATCGAAGAATGCCAAAGGTATTATACATACATACATACATACATATATATATATATATATATATATATATATATACACACATACATACATACATATATATATATATACATACATACATATATATATATATACATACATATATATATATATATATACATATATATATGTCCCTTTTCCTTCCACTTTCGAAATCCTCTAATCGAGAGAAGAGAAGGGGGAGCAGGGGAAAACTAGAGTAGGAATGCGAATCGGGAGGGGAAGGGGGACAACCGTATAGATCGTCACCTCAGCGACAGAAACTATTTAAAGTGCAGCTCTTGTGCGCGCTCTTGTGCCGGCAGGTTGATATAGGATGCAACAGCTGCGATCGGATCGTACGTACGGCGTGCGAACAGCAGCCGATGGTCACACGAGGGCGCTCGTATTCCGTGCCGCGCTCGTCGTCGCCCGCCCCATTGTGCTGTCTTATTACGCGCTCGATTCGAACGGGGGAAAAAACGCACCCTCCCCTCTCTCTTCCTCTCCCCCTCCCCCCTCCCCGCGAAATCATTATCATTCTGTCGCGGTAGAGTGGGCGAATTCGAAAAAATTGGGGGGGGGGGATCCCTCCCTCTCCCTCTCTTTATTTCATTCTCTTATTTTATTTTCAGGCACTCGCTAAGGCAGCACATGCTTCGACACGCTGGGAAGAAGTACAAGTGCGGGCTTCCGGGATGCCCGACCGTGCTTCGCACAGCGTCCGAGCTGAGATCGCACGTGAGCTTGGTTCACGACGCTACGCCGTCCACCAGACGTTACAAATGCTCGGATTGCACTTACGCGGCCAAGACGAGGACCCAGCTTCGACGGTAAGGGAATGAGCGTTTGAAGAATTTTTCTTGGATCAGGCACGCCTGCGGCTCGTGTATTATGCGACGAGACGCGTGATCGATGCGTTTGCGGAAGCGGTGAATTAATTGCTATGGGCGTAGCAGTACTTTGAGCTCGTGGACAGGCCAGCTGATGCGCGTACGTGATTTTCCACTCGCTGCCTATCGAAGTATAGATGTGTATATATATATATATATATATATGTGGTATCGTTGAATAATATTATCGATACAATTTACTTTGTCGGAGTTGTAAGTCACGCTGCAATGCGTCTTTCTTCCCCGCTTCTGTATCGTGTATATATCATCGATTTTTTTCTCCCCCCCTTCTTAATTAAAATCACAAAGAAAATGGAATACGATGGAATAAATTGATTTACGAAGTTGCGTGATTCTAGATTAGAAATCGCGCGTTGGGTTGTCATTTCTATTGGAAAGATATGGTTGAATTTTCGGCAATCGAGAAAGGGTTGAAAATCTTTCGAGTTATCGATTCATCTTATTCGAAATATATTTTCGGATAAAAGTTTGTATGAATTTGATTTTTTTTTTTTTTACGAGATCGTAAAATGATGGAAGAAGCGCGCGATTTCGAATGGTCGTACGATTTCTATTTTTCTTATTCGATTTTTCGAGGCGATAAAAAGAAAACGTCGAGTGATTGATTTTCCGATAAGTAGCTACTATAAACTTCGCAGAGGAAAACTTTGATTTATAAGAGATCCGAGATTATTTTAAACTTGAGTTACGTTTCGATTTATGAAAGGGAAGAGAATGAAATGAAACAGTCTTACAGAAAGAATATTGTAGAACTTGGCCGCCATTATTTTTTTTTTTTTTTTTTTTTTAAAACGATCCTCTCTGTTAACTCTCAGTTGTCCGAGCAGACAGGTGGTTGAACGCTAATACCGGAAAAATATGCAACGCGCGTATATATCGTAGATTACGCACGAAAGCGGCCGATTCGATTTAAATTAAGTCTTATTAAGGACATTGTACAGTGGAAGGCCTCTAATAAATTTCATCTCGTTTGATTCGTTGTCCTTTTGAACTCTTTCTTTTTTTTTTTCTTTTTTTTTCTTTTTCTTCTCTTTTTCTTCTCTTTTTTTTTTTTTTTTTTTTCGTCCGACGAACCACGGTCAAAGAGGAACAGGGAAAGAGGGAAAGAGAGGAACGGTGGGGGGATGATCGAGGGAGACAGCGCGACACGGAGGGAGGAGGGAGAAAGAGGCCGAAAGCGGAAGTTGCGTGCAGCAGTCGGCCAAGTGCGGGCAACCCGTTATGATCGTCCGCATGGCGATGGTCGACGCGATATTTCATCGCGAATTGAGTACTTACTACGTGAGTCGAACTCAACGCAGCCACAGAGTGTCACGGTCCTCTCTTTCTCTCTCTCTCTCTCCTTCTCTCTCCCACCTCCGTTTTCCCTCCCCCTGAACCCTCATCACTAGCTGCATCCTTCACTTTCCCCCTCCCGCGCCCCATTCTCCCCCTATCCACGTTCCTCTTTCGTTCTCTTTTTCATCGTTGTCCTGGAGTGTCACCTCTCCCTCTCCCACTCCTGGCCGCCAGGCTTCCCCGTCTCTCTCTCTCTCTCTCTCTCTCTCTCTCTCTCTCTCTCTCTCTCTCTCGGTCTCGCTCTGTGCGGCGGAGTAAATCACAGAGGATTTTAATTAAACGTGTCACGCATTTCGAACCTGATATACACGTAACCATGGCCAATGGCTCCCTCGTAATATCGCGCACGCATATCGCGTCGCTCGTAATCATCGGCCCTGATACGACGATGAACTTTCCGCTGTTACGAGACCTTTAAAATTGCCCTTTCGTCGAGAACGTCGATCGAATTGCTGCTCTCACGAAAATTTTAATTTCGTTTTCCAGCCACCGTGCACGCCACGACGGAGCGGAGAACGCCACGAAATCGGATCTTCGCCCCTGTCCATACACTGGATGCGCTTTTCGTACTAAGATCGCTTCTCATTTGCAACGACACGTGCGCCTCCATACGGGCACTAAGCCGTACAAGTGCCGCCATTGCTCTTACGCGAGCAACAATTTGGTAAGTCGAATCGAATATAATCGAGTATAAATAACGACACAGAGAATCCTCGTCATTGGCCCGAACGCGAACAAAGATCGAATCGGAAAGGAGAAATATATCGGTCTTGTATTCCGCTCTATTACGGTGTACACGGGATGGGAAACGGAGGTTGACTCGCAGTTCAATTTTTGTATCCGCGGTGACTCTGCGGCGTAAATTAAGCAAAGTACACCTTAACGTTTGGACCATGCCGCCGCCTCTGCCGCCACCGAGGCGCGATAAGATAACGAGTTAATTGTGCTCACTGGATGCCCACACACGCACGGCCCAGTCATACCGAGCGGCCGGTATGCTAATGCCCTTTGAAGCTTTAGTTAGGATGCGACTCGCATACGAGGGCTCCGTGTCTCTTTGATAGCGACATAAACTCATTCCAGTGGCTCTCAGCCGCTGGGATAACTTGAGCCAAGGTAATCTCGCGGTACGGAGAATTGCGAATGGTACGTCTTGCATCGGTAATGATACAGGCGGTAGGCACTTCTGAATCGTACCAAGTCGCTGTGCATAACTATACGAAAGATGACAAGGCCTTCTGGGCTCGTTTTAACCTGTTTTCGTTCTTCGCGGTTGAATCGATTACGATCGCCAATTGGACGATTGCTACATTAATAATGGCCGATTCAAACGATGCATTCGAGCGGTTTTTTGATTGATTGAATGTGATATGGAATGAAAAATTGGATTCGTGCGAAAAGAAAAATTTTAAATTAAATCGATACTAAAAACGTATACACGTTTGAGAGTTGAATGTAATACGTGTATTTGTAAATTTTGGGAAATTACTTTAAACTGTACGAAATTTAAATATAATAAATCATAAAGAAAAAAAAATTATAAAATGAATCACAAAAAAAGATTTCTATTGAAAATTGATTAGAAATTAAACTTCATTAACGTTATTTTGATTTTAGGGAAAGCAAGAAAAGTTTCGTTTTGAATTTTTGATCTACATTTTAACAATAAAAAATGTGAATTAACTTATATTAAAACATGATTTATTGTTGCTTATATATTTTTCATTTAATTTTCCATTTTATTTGACATTATTTATCATGATAATATCATAAATATATTTTACAAGATATTTAGGATATTAATTAACTTTAAATTATCTCTCTTTTTGCAAAATACATAAATAGTTTATGATTAATAATTAATTTATTTTATTTTTTCATTAATTTTCATTAACTAACACCAATATCTAGAATTTAAACGATTCTAGAAACGTGTTATCTAATTTAACATCATTTTTAATGAATTTTAATGAATTTTAACGTTCATTTGATGTATTATTGCATGCATCGATAAAATTTCTGAGATCAGTTTTCAAGAAAGATATGAAATCATATGAACGTTGAACAAGTTTTAAAATGCATATACATTTGAAATTAAAAGCAAAGTAAAAGCTTTTTCCAAGTAATAACTTTCGCTCTTAACATAGTATTCATTAGTGAAAAATAATTCTCTTAATATGATTTAGTCTCAAATGTATTCGCAAACAATTACATCCATTCTCAATCAAAGATTAATTGTCAAATCAACATAAGAATAGTCCAGAAGCAATATGGTCGTTTACTCGACGAAACTTTTAATAAGGAACGTGCGAATAGCTTCAACAATTTCCTTCTTCCACGAGTGGGTTGCCTTGCGTCAACGAGATTACACGTGCCACCTTTCCTTCCTTCCTTCCTACATCCATCCAGTTTATGATTTACCTCGGATGGCTACACGCTCCTTCTTTCCTCTTGTCATCCATGCTCGTACACAGCTTTTTGTTCTGTCGTCCGGCATGTCATTCTCTTCACTCCTCCTAGAGTTAGGAAAACTTACTCCATTTCACCGTGACAACGAAGGCAATCTTATTCTCGCATCTGTTTCACGTTTCTATGCATCTCTCTTTTTTTTTTTTCCCCATTATTGCTCCTTAATTTTCTCTTCTTCTAGGTGGTCTCCGTCCTGTGTAAACAGCGAAAAATAATAAAAATGAGACGGGTAGCCGATGAAAGCGATACGATCGATTTATCCGCGATCTTGGGCGAAAATTTAACTGGAGGGATGGTTCTCGACAAACTCGGATATACGAAACGGAATAAGCGTCGACCGGAATTTATTAGTTATCGGTTAAAATGTGGAAACGCCCGCCGATTCGATATCTCATCGATAAAAATCTTGACATGGGTTAAAGATCCTGGCAGTTTGCGCTTATAATTTTACAATCCTCTTCGGTCAGCGGCCGGCCAAGGGAATATCGGATTTTTTGCCGTATATTCGATAATTTTCATGCGAGTATTATGTTATATACGTGTGTACATTACGGGAACATTTACGTTCGTGTTACGCGCACAGTAGTGGTCTACGGGTAGAGAAGAAAATTAATATTACCCCTGCACTGGAATCCTGAAAGAAATAAAGAGGAGAGAAGTTAAAGCAGCGCGATTTGAAATCCTAGAACGGTGCCTCGTAAAATCGAATATTCTACGGTTACCGAGTTATACGTATTTACAGCATGGATGTAAAATTATATCAGAAAGAAATCGATCCGATTAATGAAAAGTGTACGAACGAATTGCGTGACGGTTGCACACTTTCCACGGTTGGAATGATTTCCCGTAAAAGGTGGACGACCGCCCATGACGGTGTGAACGGGTCTTTATCCGAGACCGTCACGGAGCGCTGGCCGTGCAGAAAGATTTACTTATGGGAAATTAAATTTGATGTTGCCGTTGCCATCAACGGCTCGTATAAGCCCGCCTGGTAGGAAGATGTTTACGACTACGGCCAGCTACTTAGCCCGAGAGGGTAAAGCGCCTTTAAATGCTCCATGGCATAGCCAATGAACGCGTCCGGTTTGCGGCAGACCGATTCTGGTCCCAGGTATTCACCGCCGACCGATACCAACGAAACCCTGTTTCCGACCATCCTGACCGTTCCCCAATACCGGCTCGGCTCTCCATCTCCAATGTCCTCACTCTCCGAGTGTCGCGTATTCACCACCCACCTCTTCCTTTTTCTCCGCATTTTCTTACGCTCTCGTTCACGCACAATCCTTTCTCGCTTGGTTGACATCCAACTACGATTCGATTCGGATCTTCTATCCACGATGCGTCCAGAGATATCTAATACACGTAACGTACGAGATGAGTAGGTGTGGCACGATGGTTTGGCAGATATTCATTGTTTTGCACTGATCGTAACATTAAATGAGTACAATAAGCGAGTGTAATGCTTTATAGAAGAGGTTATTATTACCTGTTATACATTTTGGTCACTGTGAGTACGTATAATAATTGATAAATGGCAGTCTCGTGTTGACTTAACCTAATCTAACCTAAAATATACGATATAAGCATTATGAAATTCGAAGCGAAGACAGATTTTATTTAATCGGTAACGAATGATTTTTATATGAATACAATTGAATGAAATATAATTTTTCGCAAACTATATCGTTGAAAAAAGATAGTACAATAGAGAAAGTAGAATTTTGTTTATTAAATGCGATATACTTACTTCTTAGGTATACGTTGAACAAATTAATATTTAACACGATAACGATCTTTTCTTTCAAATATCTCAAAAATTATAAGAGATTGTCGATCAAGTTATAAGAAAAAGTTATTCACAATGACGTCTTTGATATCTTTTCTCTCATCGCAACCGAAGGCCTTGCTTTTTCTTCTCCTGTGCTATACCGCCATCTATACTCGTTCATTCGTTCGACTAACACTGTCATTTTTTCGTTTCTGTTTCAGGAGAATCTTAGGAAACACGTATTGTCGACGAATCTGCATCCAGGCAAGACGATTTACGAATGCGACGTTTGCCAAGGGAACAATCCGGAACCATTTCGAACGAATTTCGCGAAAGAACTTCGCGCACATTTGTTGGAAGTGCACAGTGACACGTTTTCTACGCCTGGCCACGCGAACGACTACGTTATCGGGATTTTTAAAGTCCATCGGAGCACGGATTTCGTCGACGAGCCGAATTAATCGGTTTCGATCGTTTCGCTTTCCCGATGGAACGTTGAAAATTTACGACGGCACGTGCGTCTTAAAATTGGTAAAAGGCGACCCGCAACGGTTCACTTCGGCACACCGCGGCAACATCTTTCAAATATATCTTTCGGATCGACGATTGCTCGCGGGAGTATCGTTGAATTATCCCCGATGCACCCGGCATAGCGCACGGATGCGCGTTAGTTCTGGACGTTGGTGGCGTTGTTGTTGTTCTCTCTCGTTGTTCGCGATCGTGCGAACCGGTAGGCCTGTACCACGCCAGGAAATAGTTAAAGTGATGTACGGTCACGTGGCACGATACGTAAGCACTTTAGACGCGTATACGATCGAATCTTTATATCCCTTCGAGTTTTGAGATATTATGAGAATCGTTCGAGTTCATCCGCCATAAATTATCATGGATATATAGCCGTAACCCGCATTTACGTTCTAATTGGTTTCGTAAGTTGAAAAAGACGTATATCGAAATGAACGTGAAGTATATAAATACATAGATACGAATTTAAAAAATATATCTATATAGTTATGAAATGATTTTGAATTTGATTTAAATTTTATCTACATTCTTTGATCAAAGCAGAAGTCGTAAATCGAAAGAAACATCAAGTTGGACACGAAGAACATATATAAAGATACGAATTTAATTTTATCTTTATCTCTCGTAGAAATAGCTTTCAGCTGAATTAAAAATGGTTTTGTAAATAAAATTTCGTATATATACAATTATTACACGTGGATAACTTTATACGATACTTATTACAATTTGATACGAATCAAAAATATGAAAAAAGATATTATTGATAAAAACGACGTAAGTAAAATACGACTTAGATCAGGTTAGGTTTCGTTCTTAAGCGATCAAACTACTTCCAAATGTCACTGTTTCGACATTATTTATTCGAATAAAGACGAACGAATTTCCAAAAAAAAAAAAGAAGAACGGTGTTAATCTCCCCGTGTTATCATCCCCTCCGCCCATCATTCCCAATTGTTCTTCTCGACAACGCAGGAAACGCGGACAAGGGGGGTTGGGATGTGTAAAAGAAGCGGATGGAAGAGCGGAGGAAACGGGACGAAACGGTCGTTGAAAAATTCATCGTGGCTGAAAGCCAGCGGCGGACCACCTCGTGGATCGTCTTACAAGACGCGTTTCCGTCTTCGAGGGTCCTGATTGTGAGAAATGCATCGTGCTGTCGCGCGAGATAGGTGTCGTAAAGTATGCGGCCCTTGAGTTCTCCCGGGCAAAAAGGACAAGATCTCCGGCCGGAAAGAGGGACGGAGAGGGGAGAGAGAAAGACAGCACGGGCGTCGTGAGCGCGAAGGATAATTTATTGACTAATTAACGAGGATGTCCTTCATTACGGGTCGAGCAGCAGTCGTGGTCGCTTGCTCTCGCTCGGAACCGGCATTATTTGGCGCCCGAATATTTACGACCGCGTCCTCCTTCTTCTGCCCGTGGACCCGGGTCCTCCGCCCCGATACCGATGCCGATGCCGATGCCGATGCTGATGCCGATCCCGATGCCGATCCCGATGCCTCTCCCTCCCCTCCCTCCCCTCCTCCCTTCGAAACAAACCGAGCGAGGGAGGGGCGCGCGGACCCATAACGACGTGTCCCGATCTTACGGCGATTCGGGGACTTGGAATTTCCTACGCCCTACCCCACGACACGAAACTCGCGGGCGTTACTCTTCGGACAAAGGATCGCGCTTAAATCTTGCGAAACTCGTGCCGTCCCTCTTCCGAATCTACCGCCATCGTTATACCACCGTCGTTGTCCACCCGATTTTATTTATTTATTTATTTTTTTTTTTTTTTTTTTTTTTTTTCCCCAACATCCTCTCATCATCTTTCCTCGGACGATGACTCGGACGAGTGGGAAGTCTCGAAACTCGTGGTAAACGCTCCGTCCTCGTTCGAAGGAATTATCGAGGGGTGGGAGGGAGAGGAGGATATCGTGCGAGGCGCGTATAAAGAATGACGAAGCGTTGGACAAAGCGTGGAGAGGAGGGAAGGCCTGGCGTGCCTGTCCCTTTCCCCGTCTTTATTGCGAGTTTATCACCGGGTAAGGAGAGGGAGGGGGAAAGAGGGAAGAGAACAAGGAAACCGATACGTAGAAAGGAAAAAAGTAACGCGAAATTAGTGTGAACTGCAAAGTGCTAAGAAGTCGCGACAGGATGGTTAGGTACACCGCTTAATGAAGATATAACGAGGCTGGCGCCCCGTGGGGTTGGCACGACGACGTCGGCACCGAGACGCCCCCCTCCCTTTCATTCCCCAACGCGGCTTCCTCGTCGTTTCTCCAGCCACCAACCAGCCCCTTCTCAAGCTTCTGCTTCTGCTTCTGCTTCTCTGCCGCCGTTGCACTTGGTGGTGTGCTGCCGGGGTGCGGGCCTCGGGTTACGCCAGAACACTCGTCCTCTTTACGATCGTGGCTCGCGAAATTCCGCGGACTTTATTCCTCTAATTACACTCGCCAACTTATGTCACTGCCACCAGAGAGAGAGAGAGAGAGAGATTCTCCTCCCCGTGTCGGTTCTCCGTTCTGTCATTTATTCAGTCGGTTAATAAACGTTGAACGATTCAACGAATGCTAGCCCCATTCGTTGGTTGGAAAAACGGCCGACCGGCTTCCTTTAGAAAGGAAGAAGATCGTGAAAGGTTGTTTCGTAGAGCTCGTGTCACCTTTTCGGTAACCCAACAGTGGTGCCTTATCTTATCCCGAAAAAGCGGCTATAAATTACGACGTCCCGGTTCAATTTCGGTTAGGAAGTTCGGTTTTAATCCGCGAGGTGATTGATCGTACCAAGGTTTATCCAGATGAATCCACGCAATACTTTTTATAGGCGTGACAGAAGAGCCGTGGACCGTCGGCCCCCTCTCTCTCTCTCTCTCTCTCTTTTCTTCGCTTCTGTTGCCGCTGTCCCTTTGTCACCTTTCCCCCCCTCTTACCTGGGATGGAAGGAGGACCCTTCTATTTCGCCTTGGCCGAAATTCGCGGGGAACGTCGTCCCGAGCCGCGGAACAACGAAACGGCGAACAGCGAGAGAATCGAGGCGGAATGGGGCGATATATTTTCCCCTGGATGGCTCGGACACGGGCTCGCGTGTCTACACGCGTGAGCTCGATGCCACGTCGCGAGGAGACAGCGGGTGTCGGCCCGTACACGCACCGAGCGCCGAAACGCCATCTTAATTATCGGCTCCGATTATTTATGTCGCGTCGCTCGCCAACACTCGCCCACCTCATCGAACAACGTTTCCCCCGATTCCTTCAACTTTTTCTTCCTCATCTTTTGCCTCAACGATGGATGTCCTTCGCCTTTACCCGTGAACCTTCACTCGATTAACATCCTCGCCGATATCTGCTTTTTTCCCTTGCCTGCTCTTTTTTTTCATTTTGACGAAAGAATCTTTTATTTTGTCCTTTGTAGAATTTTTGTAGAATGATAAAGTCCTTCGTTTTTACTCGATTAACCTTCACTCGATTAACATCATATCGAACTCTGCTTTTTTTCCATTTTTAATTTCTCGCCAATATTCTGCTCTTTTTGACGAACGTACGATGAAAGAATCCTCCATTTTGTCTTTCGTCGAACGATAGAGTCCTTCGTTTTTACTCGTGAACCTTCACTCGATTAACATCTTTGCCGATATCGAACCCTGCTTTTTTCGAATTCCTTGCCAATATCTTGCTTTTTTTTTTTTTTTTGACGAAAGAATCTTTCATTTTGTTTTTTGTTCGAACGATAGAGTTCATTCGATTAACATCCTCATATCGAGCTCTGCTTTTTTTCCATTTTTAATTTCTCGCCAATATTCTGCTCTTTTTGACGAACGCACGACAAAAGAATCTTTGATTTTGTCTTTCGTCGAACGATAGAGCTCTTCGCCTTTATTCGTGAACCTTCACTCGATTAACATCTTTGCCGATATCCAACCCTGCTTTTTTCGAATTCCTTGCCAATATCTTGCTTTTTTTTTTTTTTTGACGAAAGAATCTTTCATTTTGTTTTTTGTTCGAACGATAGAGTTCATTCGATTAACATCCTCATATCGAACTCTGTTTTTTTTCCATTTTTAATTTCTCGCCATTCTGCTCTTTTTGACGAACGCACGATGAAAGAATCCTCCATTTTGTTTTTCGTTGAACGATAGAGTCCTTCGTCTTTATTCGTGAACCTTCACTCGATTAACATCTTTGCCGATATCGAACCCTGCTTTTTTTCCAATTTCTTGCCAATATTCTGTTCTTTTTCCATTTTGACAAACGCACGAAAGAATCTTTGATTTTGTCTTTTGTCGAACGATAGAGTCCTTCGTATTTACCCGTGAACCTTCACTCGATTAACATCCTCACCGATATCGAGTTCTGCTTTTCTTCCATTTCGAATTCTTTGCCAATATCCTGCTCTTTTGTCTCTTGGTCGAACGATAGAGTCCTTCGTTTCTACCCGTGAACCTTCACTCGATTAACATCCTCGCCGATATCGAGTTCTGCTTTTCTTCCATTTTTAATTTCTCGCCATTATCCTGCTCTTTTCTTATAAACGCACGACAAAAGAATCTTTGATTTTGTCTTTTGAACGATGGAGTCCTTCGCCTTTACCCTTTGCCACTATCCCGCTCTTTTTGACGAAGGAAAGAATCTTTCATTTTGTCATTCTTTCGGCGAACGATGGAGATCTCTTACCTTTGAATTCTCGAAAGATCGCCAAATAATTAATACTCTCCTTCCTCTTCTCATTCGATTAACATACTTTTTTTTGAACGCAAGAATCTTTCGTTTTGTCCTTCGATGCGAACAATCGAATCCTTCGTGAACCTTCCCTCGATATCCTCGATCTTTTTCCATTTTGACGAACGAAAGAATCTCTCATTTCGATGGAGTTCCTCGAGTTAATCAATTAACATCCTCTCGCGTCGTTTCGAATGATGGAATCGATGCAACATTTTCAACCGATGAAATAATCTTCCCCTTGGATCGCTTCTTCCCTCCCCTTCCCCTTGAATTTTCGAAAGAGGAGACGCGAGGATCACGTCCAATTAATACCTCGAATCTCGTATCGCGTGGAAGGACGCTCCCCGAAGACGGAGGATAGAAAGGAGGCGAGTTGCCAGGACTGGAAAAGGGGACCCGCGGGGATTGATGGCCACCACCTTTAATGCCGTTTGTATGTAGCGGCGCGCGTAAGCGCCTCGCCTTACAGTAATTAGCTCAACAAACGCGCCACCCTGTCCCATCAATTGCTACCCTACGCTTTCGCTTCTCTCTTTCTCCCTCCCTCCCTCTCTCTCTCTCTCTCTCTCTCTCCAAGATTCCGCTTATACGCACGCAACTTCTGTATCTCTCCGCCCTTTACCCCGATATATATATATCTCTCTCTCTCTCTCTCTCACTTTGCCGGTGCCTAACCGTGGCCTAAGCCTGTCCTTCCGTCCTCTCTCTCTCCCTCCCCTTTCTCGAGCCCGACACTCTCACGTATCTTGAATTAAACATTCGATGCCTCCTGTCTTGGCGGCGTGCGCGCACCTCTTGCGTCGGGAATGCAAATGCAGAAACGTGGCTCCTTCCCTCCCCTCCCTTCTTCCCTCTTCCCTCGTGTACGTGCGTGTACGTGCAGCGCGCCATCGCCGTTTCGGCGACCAGCGGTCGCCGCAACGACACGACGAGGAGGGAAGAAAGAGAGAGAGAGAGAGAGAGAGGATAAGGGAGGGTGTTATCCTCGGGCGACGAATTAAAGGATACGCCGAAACGCCGATTGAAAAAAACCACACAACGATGCGCGCATTCGTGCGTGTATAGCAAGTATTCCCGGCTCCCCTCCCCCCTCCTATACGATGTCCTTGTATCCCGACGATTTAAGGCCACGTGCTCGCTCGAGGAAACGGGGGAA